TTTATTTATATAAATCAAAAACTTTGAGTAAGTGAATAAGTGATTTGTATTTTGCTGGGTAATATTTTGAAGTTCCTATCATATGTGTACATGCATATGAACACAGAGTTACTTTCATGAATGTTCATTCACTTTAAAATTCACTGAGATAATATTTATAATTAATTGACTCATTCTTAAGTTCATTTAAAATATTTATGAAAAGTCACATGATAAAATTTGTCTAACATATGCAATTTCAAAAGAAGTTTTATTTCTAGTGATTTATCAAAACAGAAAATGCCCTCACATCAAAGGCCAGAAAGTTGAAATTTTACGGGTCATGAGCAGCTATTGCAACTAGTCTTTATTTTACACAGACAATAGCCATATATCATTTTATATTTGGGATTTACAGACTAATGCATTGTCTGCTGTGGCCAGAAGCAATTTGGAAAACAGCAAATCCATATCATTTCAGGCAAATATTCTTTGCATGGTTAATATAGTCAAGTAAACATCTGAAGACTGCACTCTGTCATCATGCCAAATGTTAAAATGTGTAGAAGCACATAAAGATCCAAAAACAGAGCTCAATAAAAATACTATCAAGGAGAATTATACCATATACCAAACAATTACAAAATAGAAAATGTTTACTTATTGTGAGTGATGTCAAAAATCTATTGTGCAAAAAAAAAAAAAATCAAAGCAAAGAGTAAACACTCCTTCAATTATATCAGAAAAAAAGTAAGTGGTAAAGGAAAGTGGTCTAATATAATATTAAACTGGAAAGGAAAACTGTTTAAAATGTCATTAAAAATATAAGCTTCCAATGGATGTTTCTGAGAATTTCAGCATCTGCAATATAAAAGAAAATAAAAAGTGACTTTGGAACTTGTTTAGGTGATGTGCTAATTGGTACAGCAAAGAATTCAGTCTTAGCTGTTACTTATGAAATGATCATACTCAGGAGACTAACATATTTGAGAATCTGGGGAGGAAAGAATTGTAGTGAGAAGCTCAGACAAAAACTAGGAAAAGTTAAAGTGATCACATCAAAGAATATATTTCTTTAAAGGGAGAATAAAGTACTGACAATCATTTGAGTCAATTTATATCTTGTATTCAATTATTTCTTCTCAAGGTCCAGGGGATGTTTATCTGGATGAGCCTAAGAATCCATTTTCTTTATGCCTACTGTTGAGAAAATTATTATTGCTGGACAGAGTCACAGAATAGGAAATACTGATGCCATAAGGAATTCCTAATTACCCATTTCAAAGTGGTCTTCAGCAGTGCCTGGCAAATCTGCCTACTTCTTTGGCCAACAGGCTGTCCCTTTCTGCAATATTTCAGCATTTTAAAATTTTCCTCAAACCATACTGTAAAATTCAGTCTTCAGTTGTAACACTCTGTTTGAAGCATCACAATCATCTCTCACCCACACCAAAACAACAGCCAGGAAACTTGTTTCCCTACTTCCATTCTTTCCCTCTTTCAGTCCATTCCCTAGACTAAAACTGATTATTCTCCTTCTCTGATTGAATCGCCTCAGTTACTTTCCATAAAACAAAAATCTATAACCTGCACTACATTGTCCCAAAGCACTTTCCCTCTTCATTTTCTGTATTTCAATTACAGTAGCCTTTAGTTGCTCAAGTGTACAATGCTTCTCCTACCCTTACCCATCATATTGGTTTCCTAGGGCTGCTGTAACCAAGTATAATATCACAAACTGAATGACTTATTATAAAACAACAGAAATCGATTGTCTCAAAGTTCTGCAATCTGGAAATCTGAAATTAAGATGTTGGTCAGGGTCATGCTGCCTCTGACACCTGTAGGAAAATTTTTGCTGTCCTCTTCCTACTTCCTGGTGCTTTCCTGGCCGTCTTTGGCATCCCTTGGTTTGTAGATGCATCATTCAATCCTCTATCTTTACATGGCATTCTCTAAGTGTTTCTCTATTTCCAAAAGTCTCTTTTGTACCAGTCATTGGATTAGGACTCACCCTAATGACCTCATTTTAGCTTGATTATATGTAACTATATATAAAGACTCTATTTCCAAATAAAGTCACATTTTGTAATATTGGGGGTTAGGACTTCAATATGTTTTTTTTAAGGGACACAACTGAACCCATTAAAGCCCACCATTAACAAAGGAGTTTTTTACATGTTGTTTGTTCTCCCAGAAACCTTCTTTGCAACCCTCACCTTTCTGTCACCCTTCCAGCTTTCAGCCCAGAATGACTTTTTTTTTAGGGACGATGGATTCACAATCCAAATAAGTTTTCCAGTAAACGCATTCACTTGGCCATATACCTTGCCTTTGTAACATTTATCATATTGTAATTTTACATTTTTTGGTGAGATTCTTTCATGGTAGCTGTCTGCTTCACTAGACTGTGAACTCTGTGAAGGCCATCTTTCCTCACTCTTGTATCACTACAGTGTCTGGAATGTTACACTAGGCATTCGATAAGTGTTTGGCTGAATGAATAAATAATAGATCAGACCAGAAATGACAAAAATGTCAGTTTGAAGTTTCAAAATTTCTACTTTTACTGAAGCATTAGTGAGAACATAAAGTGTTTCCATATAATATTCTACCAGTAAGGATATAATTTCTCGATCACTAAACTAATTGGCTAAAAAAAATCAATGTGAAATTGCAGTGTATTTTAAATTATCCATGCTACAGAAGCTGTATAGGACTCTAACCCTGCTCATGTCATTCAACTTCTCTTTTTAGTCTCAAAAAATCAACTGTATAAATACCCAAATTGCGTTCATAAATTCCAGGGCAAGAAAAAAAGCAAAAGACTGTGACAGATATTCAGTTCAGTAAAAAACAAAAAATTATATTGATAAGTTCTGTGGTTGACTCTGGAAACACCCCCAAAACAACAATTCAATATAACGAGAAATATTATGGTGAGTTATAATCAGCAGCATTGGAAACAAAAATGCCCAACTACAATTACTGCCTTTATACTCATGTGTTTCACTTTTATTTCTTATATTGCATGTAAATGCTTTTAGATTCCTAAGGCAAAATGCAACTTCTCATTCTTTGGAAGGCATCTACCATATATACCAGGCATGCCAAAAAGAATGTATACAAGGGGACATTTTGGTCAACGTTGCTCAAGCAGTAGTTGGCTGTAATCAGAAGTGTCTGGAAGCTGATGGTAACCACTTTGAACACCTCTTATAATTGCAGATGTCAAAAGTGACTTGTATTCATCTTTTGTTATCGGTATATAGTATTACAATTTTAATAGTTTTTTCCTTTCTTAAAATGTGTATACATTTTTTTTGGTATCCTCTGTATTTTCCTTCTCTTCCACAATTCCTTCTGTAAATGGTTCTATTCAAAGCCTCAATCTGTATCTATATGGCAGAACTGGTTTAGAATTTCATCTCTTACCATCTGGGTCATTGTGAACAATTTACTTAATTTCTCTGAGCCTCAGTTTTTTTTCTGCAAAATAGAGATAATATTATTTGGTTGAATGGATTATTCTTGATATTAAACAGACAAAGTATGTAATAAATTGCCTGGTCATGGTTAGCAATCAATAAATTTGCTACTATCTTCATCAACATAAGCATGAGAGGTGAATTTTAAACAGTTTTCAGTTTCAAACACATGAATTTTATATTCTTTCTATGGTCCACTTTATTTTCTTAAACCAAGGTACTACTTTTATAATTATGTTTTATATCCAACATTCACTATTATGTATTAACTGTCATATGTAATCAATTAAGACTATTTTCTTAAAGTAAATTACAATTAAGTTAATATTATGAACAGTATATAGCTAAGCTCAATACATCTACTGAAGATCTAATTCTGCCTAATTATTACAAAAGCACAAAGCAATAAAGAAATTTTAAAATTATCTTCATTTTGAAATATTTATTCTTATGGTTAAAATGTTTTTGGCTTGAGTAATACTCATCCTTTGATGAAAGTGTTACCTTTGAAAATTTTGCATAAATCAAAATGTATTCAAGAAACATAAAATTGCCAACAGTAAAAATAAAACAATTTAAATAATGTGTTTTGTTGCTAAAAATGCAAAACTATGATTAATTTGTTGTACTTTATTTTCTGCTCTATTAGCCATACTTTGGCAATTAACCACATTATCCAATTTAAAACTGGAATTTGATTCTCTCAGACATATTGTTACAGATGAATAAAGCTTGACTTTTGTTACCATATTCAGAGACTTTAAAATTTGCCAAAAAGTTGCACTCTAAAAATCATATGTGTGTTTTTTAGAGCCTCAGTACATATTTTATAACAATTATGTTATATATAGTTACATAGACACTGTGAAGATTTTCAAGATGCAGTATGAAATCAATTTTGGAGGTAACAGGAAGACATAGGCTCAATCACCCTTTCTTCACCCTTATCTGAATCCTGAACTTGTCTTGATGCTTTTAGATGGAAATGTTGATAGTATCCTTCATACAGTTTCCTCATCTTTGTCGATCATATACTAGATATTATCCACATTATCTCTAGACATTTTTTTTAAAAAGTTAATCATACAGAAGTATAAATGGAAGTCTTGAGATACAGAATTCATATTTCTAAGCAGTTATCACTCATCTTTCCAGTTCCATTCAGCAGACATTTATGAATTCTGATAACATGTGAGGCACAGCACCAAATAATCAATACCTTTCACTTAACATTATTTCTATTGATTGTGACTTCACCCCTAAGAGGTGGGTATTCTTATTTCTATTTTTAAAATAATGAAGCTGAGGTTCAAAAAGGTTGAATAAGTGACAGAATAGGATCTGAACCTCAATTTGCCTGATTCCTAAGACTATGCTATAATTATCATTCTATGCTGCCTCTATACAAGCAAAATCCTTATCAACTTGTTTACTGGAAGAGAGGTAACCCTGGCCATTGAAACACCTTTGAAATTCCTTTTTAAGCTTTGCTAACAAGAGACCAACAGAATGGCTTTGCTTGTTTTTATATAGGTATATGGCCATTATTGATCCCTTGAAACCCAGATTGTCTGCCACAGCAACCAAGATTGTCATCGGAAGTATTTGGATTCTAGCATTTCTACTTGCCTTCCCTCAATGTCTTTACTCCAAAACAAAAGTCATGCCTGGCCGTACTCTTTGCTACGTGCAATGGCCAGAAGGTCCCAAGCAACATTTCACGTAAGTTAATTCTCTATTACGATTTTCAATGCAAATTATGGACTACAGGTTGGGAGCAACAATTAAGCAAGTAAGACATAGACATTTCTCTCAAGGGCTTGCACTTTACTTGGGAAAAGAGACCATGTAAAAATACTATCATATATTATGATATGGTCAATAAGTTGGCTTAAGTTATAAAGGTTTCTAATTGGAAAAATGTGATGACTTCTATATGAGATAGCTCTGGAGAGTTTCCTGGAGGAGATGATAAGCTCACTGGAGATGAAAGCAATGCACAGAGGAGAGGAAAGTTGTTATTGATTGAGAAATCAATGAGAAGGATGGAACTGAAGCCCAAAAGTGTCAATTGCTCTTTTAGGAAGCCCAGCTGAAGAGAAGGGGAGTCCTGGTAGATTCATGGTTGCGTTCTTTTGTTTTAATGTTAAAGAAACTTAAACACTAGGTTAGAAAGGAAATAGGAACGCTATATGATAGAATTTGAAAGTCATATTTTGGACCAACCTTAGGAAAAGCAAGTGGGAAAAAAATTGTGCAATTGTTTGCATCTCGTTTTTTATTCTGATCATTTAAATTTTATTTCAATACTATTCTTATTTAGTGACTAATTTTTCCCTTTAAAAATAATAAGAAATACCATGATCATCTATTAAAGCATCCATTTTATCACACTCTGCTCTAACTAGAGTCCAGATTTTTTAAAAATTAGTTTCAGATGTACAAAACAGCATAGTGATTAGACATTTTTATACCTCACAAAGTGATAATCCCAATAAGTCTATTACTCATCTAACACTGTACATAATTATTACAATATTATTGACTATATTCCCTGTCCTGTACTATATATCCCCATGACTATTTTTTTAATTATAGTTGACATTCAATATTTTTTATATTACTTTCAGGTGTACAGTGTAGCAGTTAGACATTTATATAATTTATGAAGTGATCCCCCGATAAGTCTAGTACCCATCTGATATACATAGTTTTTACAATATTATCGACTATATTCCCCATACTGTAGTCCCGAATTTTAAAAACATTAGGAAGTATTTACTGAAGGAAAATCAGGCAGCAGTTATTAAACTGAGTACTGCATTCTATCCATTATTGCTAGTAAATCTTCACTGAAAAACAAAATAAAATGGATTCTAATAATAAAATTAAATTATTTATTGACTGAATCATTTCCCCATTGACTTTAAGTCAATATTTAATAAGCTGTCAGGAAATGGGAAAGCAAGGAGTTTTAAGACAAAAAAAGACACCGGTATTGAGAAGACTAGTATACCAAATTCTTTAATTACTTTAAAGCCTTCCTAAGACAGTGGAAGCCATGCAAAATTTATACAAATTCTAATTGGGTTGTTATATTATTGGTTGTTATCCTATTCCTCTCTAACTGTATCCTTATAATTTTGACTGAAAGCTATGAAATCCTAAAATTTAGTTTGATAATTTATAGTATCATGACTTTGGTGTGACTAACAAGTCTGTATGTTATTTATAAAGTTAATAATGAAATCAAATGTGCCGTGACTTTGGAAAAAATGCATGTAAATGTCATTATCTGATTTTTAAAACCATAGTCAAAAAGCTTGTGGTTTCAATGTGGCTCACAGTATTTGATAACATTTTTTTTCCTTTGGATGAAAAAGTTTATTTCAAATATGACTGATGTTACAGGGATATATACAGCAGTTTTACACAGGAGTAAATATGTCAGTTGATTAGTTTCCTGTCCCATCTCTTTTCCTCTGATGAGACATTTAATTAGGTTAGCTCAACAATTACCAAGCAGAGGAAAGTGGTTCAGCCTGAATCTCTAGGCAAGAAGGGGCCACGTGTAGTTTAAATGAGCACTGCAGCTCAGCCATGGTTTTCATGTATAAAGCAAAGATTGCCAAAATCAACTGGTAACATTTGGACAATTGTAGGTGGCAATAACATGATATTTTATAGATTTATGAAATGAGGACTTAAAGAAAATATAGAAATAGTCTTTGGAGTTTTCAGTTATGATTTGAAATGGAATGAATTCAAAGTACCACTATTTTATCCCAATATGCTCCTCAGCAAGTATTTTTCTTATTTCTTGCAGTTACCATATTATTGTCATTATACTGGTGTACTGTTTCCCATTGCTTGTCATGGGCATCACATATACCATTGTTGGAATCACTCTTTGGGGAGGAGAAATCCCAGGAGACACCTGTGACAAGTATCATGAGCAGCTAAAGGCTAAAAGAAAGGTACTGTTCCATATAATTTACCCAGCATTTGTGTAAATTGTGGCACATCAGAGGGAAAACAATCCTTCTTATGTCATTTTAAGATAACATGATTGATGCTTTCCATCAATTTTATCTTTTACTTCGTGTTTGTATTCTATAAGGCACTGACCATATGCAGTAGCAGTGTGTGATAGATTAGTTACTTCCTTACAGAAAGACTTTTCATTATCTTTTGCCGAGTATTCTCAATTACTCCACCAGAAACTTCTGAAATTCACATTAAACAGAGTCCCAGTTCACTCTATCTCTACAGCTCTACCTATCTTTGCCCTTTATTGAACAGAAGGCTCCTGATGTACTCTATAACCTTCCAGAAGCTTCCTTTATCCCAAGAATGGTATGTCGCCTAGTATGTGCTATATTTCCTGATATCCATTTATCTGTCTCTCCCTCCCTCCCTTCCCCACAGCCCTCATCCCCTTCCTCTCTCCCCATCCGGTTTCTGCACAGCCATCATGGATGTCTGATTAAAAGATGAGAGTTGCATTAATAGTCTTCTACTACTTATTGGGTGACATTATAAAGCTTGTTTCTGAACATTCACATTAAACAAGAAAAACATCTAAAATTACTATATTGATATTGTACTAGGATTTTTTTTAATTAATTTTTTTTCTGACTACCATTATGTGACTGAGTGAGATTTTTGATAAATTTATGGAGTTGAAAGGAATCTTAGAGTCATCTATTCCATCTTCCTCTCTCCAGTTGATGTGTACCTAATACAAATCGGAGAGGATCTTCCAAGGATAAGAGTTATACTAATTATGTGAATTATTATTTATTGCATTTATAGTTCATTTATTTGTGGAGAACTGTTATCAACTACATGGACACATCCCTTAAAAAACAATCAACAATTTTAAAACCACTTACCTACAAATACTCACTTAACAATTATCAATCAGGTTTTAAAAATCTAA